TGAAAATTCCAAAAAGTTTGTGCCAAGATCGTTTGCCAAATCTTTGAGCTTGGGTTTAAAATATTCTTCTCTGATCGTTGGCTGGATTCTTCAGCCCGACCAAATATGTTTTTTTTTTAGCCTGAAGAGTATGAAGCTCATGTCGTGAATGTAGAATCGATCTTTGAGTTTGTCTATAAAAATCACTTTGCATAACGTTCACTAGTTCCGTAGCAAGATCGCTGACGGGATTCTTGAGCTAAGGGTTGAAATAAGCTCCAGCAAAGCTTGAGCAGATTATTTATATGACTTAGTAAAACAGTTTTGACAAGTGATCGAGTGATCGCAACGATCGCTTTGGAAAGTGATCTCAACCAACAGAAGTACAGATTTTCCAAAATCCCATTCATATAAGTACCTTCCAGACGCAAAATTTCTCTACTCTTTCTGTTTTTAATAATTCTTCAGTAGCTGAATTTCCTCCTGGCAGTCCATCAAAACTCCACTGCCACTATTTTCCCGCGCTGTGCTGTCACCGCGCTCGTCAACCGCCTAGCTATTTAGACAAACGTCAAACGTAGGTGGTCCTAGCGCGCAAATACAGTCGCATCAGGTGGTAAGGAATTTCAATGTCACTTTTGATTTACAAAAAAGATGGTCAAATAAATAAAATGCGCTGTGCAAAAATATGACTAGCGATACATAGTAATAATGGTTGGCTACTAAGCAAAGGCATGATGAATGTTTAGACAATTATGACGGGCCGATGAGGTATGCGTAGGTTGGTTGCTCAACTGAAAAAAGGATCGTTGGGCGAATTGTGGATTGTGGAATTGAAAGTGCGTTGGAATTGGTTGTGATTTGAAATTAGTGTAGCTTTGGGGTTGCGTGTTGCGAGCGCTATTCGAGAGTATGTGTGTATATAAATGGTAATTGAGCGTGCGTGAGGTCAGTAGGAAATGAGGAAGATGGAAGAAGAAGATGAGTAGTTATAGCCCAGCAAAAAACACGATTACCACAGGAACGAAAGTAGAAACGAGCT